ATATATATATATATATACACCATTTTAATATTTCTCTTTGTTTATTGTTCACTAGTTTGTTGAAGCCGTATCAACATCATTTAACTCATCATACGATATAATTTGCGTTACTGAGATCTTCAAAACTTCAAGTCTAAAATTTCAGTGTTACTACTTTCGCAACCACTGTTTTCCTCTCCACGTGCTTCACTTCAAACGCGTTGCTGTTTAGAACCCCCCCCCCCCCCAGACAACAGGTGTTTTGTGTGTGTTTCAGAATGTATCTCTTAAAGTTGTACATCTGTTGTGGAGCAATTTTAATTTGATATATTTTTTAAGTTTATTACCCAAACGTTCTCTTTCGTAGCTGGACTTGCTGTCCAAAATATATAATCAGTCACTTGCGTAGTCTTACTTATTAACCACACTTGGCTGTTGGAAAAAAAAAGGGGAAAAAACGCACAAAATAACACCTGCATAATTGTTTAGAAACTAAAAATAATCAATTATATTTTCAGCATGAAAACTTCAAAACAATATTTACGTCTACTTTCGAAATATTAATGGCTACGTGACAGAATTTTATTATTTCTCTTAAAACATACTATAAAATTAAATTTCAGTCAGGCCCACAACCAAGTTCAATTTTAGATAAATGTCAACATTATATTACTTTCTTTCAACCAAGAAAAAGAAAAAGAAGGTATTGAAGTGCATTATTTTAGCTATATTATAGCACTTGCTACAGCAAAGAAACGAGGTTGAAAAGAAGCCTTTATTGTTTTTATCCACTCTCCAACAGCTTTCATGAGATTTGGCGAAATGTGTACGATCATGAAAACTATCGATTGTACAAATAAGCCTCGGGTGCACACTGTCTGAGGTTCTAACAGAAGGACGGATAGCCTTGTTACCACCAATCATAAGGTAAACATTTTTTAACCACGACGTCTTTATATTGAATCTAATGAAGAACTTATAAGTTTGTTCTATCTACCAACACATATGCACTATATTTGAAAAGGGCTAAATTTCGTTTGATTTGAAGTTCGCGCAAAGCTACACGAGGGCTATCTGCGCTAGCCGTCCCTAATTTAGCAGTGAAAGACTAGAGGGAACAAAAAAAAAGAATAGTGATAAATTTAAATTGTAAATCATCGTTTGACCGTTGAACCCCTCTACATATTGAATAAAAACGGGCACTAGTCCCGCTTTTCTTATATTATTGTGTAAACTTACTACTGTCCATAGTATTCTTACGATTTGTTGCTATATACTGCATTATTACCATAAAAGTGACGTCCAAACTTAGGATATCTTATTCTTAGCCCATTTTCAATCTGAGGGTCGCGGGTTCGAATCCCCGTCCCACCAAACATGCTCGCCCTTTCAGCCTTGGGTGCGTATAATGTGACGGTCAATCCCACTATTCGTTGGTAAAAGAGTAGCCCAAGAGTTGGCGGTGGGTGGTGATAACTAACTGTCTTTTTTTTTTTTTACCAAAATATAGTTTGTTACAATCTACAAAATATACACAGAGATTTGTGACCTTCGGGACCTTACCGTTTACTCTGACCTGGCACTTTGTCAGGAACTCCGATTGTTCCATTGATGGACTACCTTTCTGAGCAATAACAACCACGAACTCGGCGTAGGACGGACACTTAATTAAAGATCCTATTCGACAGCAGCCCATTAGTTCTAGAATATGAACAGAATCTGATTCTCAGCCTGGTGGTAAATGTGATTGTTAAATTCATTCCAAAATTACTCGATTAGATCGAGAACTTGTGCTGGGTAAGTTATGAAGTATTACTGGAGTCACTGTTGTGCTCTTCGAAACCGTTCTGTTCGATACAACTACGTGAATTGCAACAATATCACTTCGGAAAGTTCTTTTTTTTACCAACCAGTCTTTGCGTTCATTGTTATGAGAAAGAATATTTCATGTGCGATGAATATAATTTGCATTTCTAAAAGATCCAAAGAACCCCTCCCATGTCATGAAAACACCCCTCGCTCTATTATAGCAACCTGCATTATAAGAATAGCACAAACTGGGTCAGAAGACTCATGCATCTTTTCATACTTTTACCCTATTTTCAGGATTGAAAAAGGTCTATAATGATTTATTGAATTACCTCAGGTACTTGTTTGTTTGTTATGAATTTTGCGCAAAGCTACACGAGGACTATCTGCACTAGCGGTCCCTAATTTAGCAGTGAAAGACTAGAGGGAAGACAGCTAGTAATCATCACCTACCGCCAACTCTTGGGCTATTATTTTACCAACGAATAGTGGGATTGACCGTCACATTATAACGCCCCCACAGCTAAAAGGGCAAGCATGTTTGGTGGAAAGGGGATTCGAATCCGCGACCCGTAGATTGACAAGTCGAGCGCTCTAACTCTCTAGACATGCCGGGCCCCTCATGAAGTTACAGCCACTCACTGTGATTAATCCGCACAGTCGTGCTTTCCAATTTGCATTTGAGATGAGAGTATTCGGACTAGTTGTCGACTTAATGTCCTCCACATGATCATGGTTGAAGGCAGATGAATCCTGATTACTTCTCACTGTATCGATCAATTAGTACACAGTCTGTTGCACTTCATATCTTTTTTCAACCGTCTTTTCCTTCGGTTGGTAGCTACATTTTCCCCTGGTGATTGCCATTCTTGATATACTCTTTAATAACGATAGTCCCGCTAGACCGTTGTCCTGATCTTGGCCATGTCTTGTAGATTAAGTGTAACTTGATTGCATTCCTGCAGTTATAAGGCTTAAGCAGTGACCTCTGACATATCACGTGGATAGTTCATTTTACTTGTACAAATAACATGGGTGTTTATCGCATGTATTTGTGCAGGAGCTACTAATATTAAAGTTGAAATGAAAAAGTCTTAACGGTTCACGTTACTGTATTTCTGTGCTTGTTCCAGAGTCGTGCTCTGGCATCATGATAACCTTTATCTTACCGGCTTTTACACTATTATAAAGGGCAGGGATAATTTCTTTGGAAAAAGTACATATCCGTGTCCTACATAAGGATATCAGTGCAAATACTGTTATACAAACTGTTGAAACTGCAAAAATATT